GCTCCAATCTTTCACAAACTTAACATTGTTGCTTTCAACTAATCTTGTGTGAGAATGTGGACAATAAAAAGCGAAAACTGTCACGCCCCAATCTTGACATACATCCAGGATCGACGTGCGACAGTGAACTGCAGGGGGAAAACCAGAAATACAATTGAATACCGAATTGAAACTAAGAACAATTTACAACAATTGAGCAATGAAAAGTATAAGGGTAACCTAACACTCAAAACTTTCTGAAACTCTGTCTGCTGAAGTTTCTTGTATCAACTAAACTTGTACAAACACCCCCTACACCATGGGAATGAGGCACAAGGCAAACAACAACCCAAATAAACTGCGAAGTTCGTGTGAGTGACAATAATGCGACGTATGTGATAATATTAAAAACCAACCATCGATTCGGTTTATAAACATCAAAGATAAAATCATATTTTATGAAATCATAATCAAGTCACTGAAAATCCCGAATAAGTCACCCAAACATCCAATGGCTTATCTGAAACAAACCACAATAGCTCACAACCATAAACTCATACAACACAATGAAAAGTAGGGCTAGAGCGACACAGTTCAACCGAAGTCCTAAATCTCTGAAGCTATCTCAATCCAAACTCAATTCGAAAAATCAACAAAGCAATTAATCAGGTTCCGGACCACTCAATGGAACCATAATACCAAACGGGATTTCGAATCACTAAACGGAATTGTGGAGTAGAAGGGATTCCGGACCTCTCAACGGAATCCGAGTGGAAACGATTTCGGACATCTCAATGGAATCGTTAAGTACAATGGATATCGGACCACTCAACGAAATCCAAGCTGGATATGATTCCAAACCACTAAATTGAATCGCAGAGCATGAGAGATTCCAGACCTCTTAACAGAATCCAGAAGGAGTAGGGAACCGGACCACTCAACGGAACTACATACTAAAATTTCATGACGATCCAACAGTTGAATCGTCGTTTGATAGAATATTTAAGTGGCAGACCTTATCAAAAATATACTCAAATGACGGAATTTCAGTAATCAGATGCGCCACAGAAGAAGGAAGAAAGACTGTTCAAGCCATGAAACTTGTATTTCGAAAATCAAATCTCCATACAAAGGCAGGGCTTTGAATTAAAGCTACAATATTCAGATTTTTCATTCGTACTTCCGTGACCAAACAACCGAATACACAACATCGCATCAGTTGGTCAATAGCTAGAGAAACGTCAGTCATAACTACTATAATGTGTGTAGAACAAAAGAATCAAACTGTTCCTAACACGACCATAGAGTTTTGGATCAATGAAAAGCATTCAAATTCTCAATCAACAACAAACCAAGAAACACATCAACTGAGTTCTGCTCAAACAGAAAAAAGCAAAACATCTAGAGATACTATGACTACCATCAATTTGAAGTTGAATTGATGCTCCATTGCATGAGAAACATTTAGGAGATTGAAGGGGAATCAATCTGGTGGAAATTATGGTGTGTTTATGAACTTGAAGGCACAGTCCTCCCAAATCAAAAGGGAATCATCATCATAGCAATTTGGTGACTTTGGAGTCTTGCAAGGAGGTGGAGAGTCAAGGTTGTCAGACAGCCAGGGGTTTTGATCCTCAGGTATCTCTTCCAAATCCCAATTCTTGGGACTCTCGGGCTGAAAACAAAGATAAAAAACAGGGGTTGTTACCAAAAATCCATACTGACAAAATAACTGCAGAAAAGAAGTATTCTTCTTGGACATGAAACCCGAAGCCTACCTCAGATTTACTTGCCAGTGAAGGCGCACACAGGAGATGTAAGCTTCTTGGAAGAATCTGAGCAAAAAATGAATGATCTGATAAGTTAAAATGCCCATGAAAATCATCAATTTCAAAAAACTCAAATTATTCAAAAAAATATAATACCGGTATCTACTCCAAGTGCCATCAAAAACTGATGAAACTGATGAATCTCATCCATGTCCTGTGCCTTCATGCACTCTTGATGATTGTGCAAAAACCCTTCTTCTGCAATATTATCAGGACAAACAGGCTGCTTTGTCACAACCCTCTGCTTTGTGTTGTTCTTCACCTGTGCATCTCTTGTGTTTGAAATATCACGTAATGCATTCCTGCTGCGGATCTGAACTTTATCTGAGGCTTTAGACAAGCCTTTGTTATTGCTTGCATCACCACAAATGGTTACCTTGGGAGACTGCTTTTTTGATGCCTGAGTAAGAGCAGCAGGCTTCCCTGAATTCGATAGATCACCAAGTGGTTTCCTTCCACCAAACCCCCCTTTCCTTTGCGCTTTGAAGGCATCACCCGCTCCCACAAGAGAAGCTCCTACCATACATAAAATTACAAGGGTTAGACTAAAACAGCCCAACAAGAACTTTAGACATAAAAAGAAAAGCATAAGTAGATTCGATCATTACCATTACCCTTAGAATGAACACTCAGATTCTGATCTTGATACAAAGGTAAGAACAAACAAGAAAAGAACCAAGCCAGTGCTGAATGTTAAATGCCTTGACCCTCAAGGCAAGGATCATATCAATCAACTTATATTAACATAGATTGAATTACTAAATCTATCAAATTAAGCAGTTAAGTCTAATTATACAAGTTTTTACCAACAAAATACGCTTATTGGAGATTAGTGGCGGTGTAGGACAGACTACCGGAGTGCTGGCATAGTGGCAGCGTAGGACAGACTAACGGAGTGCTGGCCCTTGACCGGTTGTGCACCACAGAGGCCATCTATATGTTGAATGGAATAAGATTAGGGTTAGGGTTGGATCCCTGTCAATCTACAAAAGGAGCAGCCATTTTCCATACTTGCATTGTGTTATGCTTGTAAATTTGCTATTATATATATAATAATTCTCCTTGTTTACACCCTTTGTTTTACTCTTTTATATAGGTTTTACATTATATTTGTGTTTTGTAGATTGTAACAAGCAAAAAGTGCAAAAGGAGTTAAAAAAAGGCTTTTACAATCCTATGTGATCAGCACAGCCTGTGCAGATCAGCTGAGTTCGTGGGTTAAACTGTACTGACTTGGGAAGAACCAGGAGATGTGCCATATATGCTTGGAAATCCACGGATGTCTATTCACCGTAGAATTTTACGGTTTGTGAATATCATTTTTCTAGAGGGAGTTATGGCAGTTTTAGTACATGAAGGTCGGGCTACACACGAATATGAAATTTTCTACAAACATGTATCAATATGGCAGATTAAATGAAGATTAAAATTCCTATTTATTAGGAGTTTTAACCAGTTGAAGAAAGCCAAAAAGTCTGAGAGAAAGTAAATTAAAAGTCTTTATAATATAATGAGACTTTAAAAGCTCATTAAGCTTGATAAGGAAAAGAACGCTAATTGCCTTGTCGGTTACAACTAGAAGGGGAATGAAGGAGGATCCCTAATCAGACCAGCAGAGGGGGCGTGAGATATAAAAAGTAGAAAAAAAAAAGATAGGCAGCAGCAGCTACCAAAACAGAGAAAGAACAACCGGCAGAAGGGAGAAAAAGGAAGGAACAGAGCACCGTTCTGCAATTTGTCATGGAAGAGTTTCTTCTTCTCCTCTTACTTTCTGTTTTGTTTGTCTTTGCTGCCCATTTACATTATGAGTAACTAAATTTCATAGTTGGGACTTGGTTGAAGTCCTAATAATGTTTCCTTGAGTATTTTCGATACACTTTTGTTACAAGACAATTTGTTGATGCTTTAGTGATTAATTCCAGTTTTAATCCAATCTTCTTGAGTTATTTTATGATTGATCAACGTAGAATAGCTTTGTAATTGAGTTTGTTACATGGGTAAATTTGGATGATACAGTCTTGTACCTATGCCGAGTAACAAGAGAACTAGTTATGGTTCCTGGAATTAATTATCACGAATGACCGGAATAGATACCATGTTCTAGGATTCGTGTGTTCGTCGATTTCCATTGTATTATGCTTTCTCGGATTGCAACTTAGTAGATACCATGCTCAATACTTCGAGAATGAAAAGAGTTAGTCTAGACACCCATGCCTAATTCGTTGTTTAGGGAAATCAATAGCTTAAATAGTAGATATCATGCCTTTAGGTTGACAAACGTAAAGCATCAAAAATTTGTTTTGTATTATAGTGTGTATCGGTTGCTTAGGCGAAAAAGGTTAGAGATGGAAGTCAAAGTCCTAACCGTTCAAACATCGTTTTCAAAACCCTTATTGCCAATTACTTTTATTTGCCTACATTCTTTATATTGTTCTTTTATACTTAAACTTAAGACATCTCAAACTATTTTGTTAAACCTTTGCTCGCATATTTGCTAGTTTTGTGAATTAATAAATTGTTAGGAATCATACTCTAGATGCATATTAGTGCAATCCTCGTGGGAATGATCTTGTACTTGCTTTCTATACTATGTGTTTGATCTTGTGCACTTGTGAGTTTAAAACGTGCGATTAGTAGCTTAATATTTAGGTTGCTAAATGCATAACACATTGTCGAGTTTAACTTAGAGTTTTCTTGTTGAAAGCATTCCACAGCTCTCACAGCTGGTTTTGGGCTCGGTGAGTATACTAGGATTAGATTGTAACGGATAACTAACTATATTTAAGGATCTTTGGACGAGGAAGTGAAAAAATTGTGTCCAACTTGAAGATACATGGAGAAGAGTATACAACAAAAATAACGTATACAACAAACAGAGATAATCAAGCTCAAAGAAATCCAAAACCTGACCAAACTGGGGGCACACAAGGAGCTCAAATACTTTATTAAGAGATCCTCACAAACCGATTCCGAGAGCCAAAGAAACTATACATGCGAGGGAAACTTACATGAAACGGTTTCATACAACAAAGTGAAAGGAACATTTTCTCCTACTACAAGGAAACAATTACCGTTACCCAGACCTAGAAGCAAAACCATGCAGAGTTTCTCCTACTACAAAAGTTATAATTACCATTACTATCATTGACATGGGAAGGGAAAAAAAAAGTGACTAGGGTAAATATCTAGTCGAAAACAAACCAAGAGAGGCATTCATTTGAAACCACAGTGATTCAAACGTATGCATTTATATAAATAACCATATTTTCTGTACAAAATATCCAAATCCAGAACTGATGTCTTGAACTTATACAGAAAAACTAAAGGACCAGCACTCCAAAACGCTTCAGAACAAGTAATGCACTCCTTTTCTATATATTCTACACCCCATGCAGTACAAACCTCTTCGTTGCCAAGGCCGCATCAAATGTTTACGCACTTTCCACATCAAAGGTTCACACACTTGTCTTTCCTGTGTCTGTAGCACGTAATCCATAGGCAAAACCTTCTGACTAGAGGTCGTCAAGCAACTGTTAGCATGAACTTCACCAACTTTTAGAACAGAAGGAAATGCAACATCATTCGTCGGGCTGAAATAAAGTGAAAGTTGAACTTGTCTCTGTCTTTGTAATCTGCATTACCATATGAAGCAAGCTAAGTATTAGCTTATTATTTCTCATGAATCAGAAGATTCAGAACACGGAAAACAAAAGGAGAGAGATTCTTGAAATGAAAATACCAACCTCAGTCGTGCGAGAAATTCCAGAAGGAAGAACAGGAGCAAGAGACGTCCAAAGAATGGGGTCTACCAAGGGATCAACAGCATTGTAGTTGGTCAGAAGTGGTGCAGACAAGAAGGGACCCAACGGGAACACGTCTGTTTGGAGAGACATTCCACCACTCATTCCTAATACAGAACCAAGTCTTTCGTCATGACTTGTGGATTTCTCAATTGCCTTTCCATAGTCCATCTTGTGGATGATATTTTTGTTTTCATTCTCATTATTATCTGCATTGTTTTCCTCCTTTTGTGATGCTTTCTCTTGCAAGTTCTTATAGGCAGCTGACCGTGAGAGGATGCTCATGGCAGAGACTCTGGTACCTTTATGCTTTTTACTTACACGAGAGATGCCCAAACGGGGCATCTGGTACGGTTCAGTAGGCTGGATTCCCCATTCTAATGTTTTAAGTTCAACTCCAATATCTCCAACACAACCATGTTTTGTTTCTTCTGAAAATTTCATGCTAGTTTCAGCTTGTCGAGATCTGTTGGGTCCCCACCACTTGATGTAACTCGTTAGGTCAATCTTTCTTTCAATGCAAAGAGCTCCCAAAATTTCACTTTCTGTTGCTGGATCAACGCCTGTACGTTTAAGTTGTATAAGACGGAAAGTGGCACTGATTCAGGTAGTAATCCAGATAAAGGAATATAATAAATTCAAAAGCCTCCATCTGCAACTTTGTTTTGCAGAAGATTTCAGATCGAGGAGACTGATTTTTCAGAGCCCTCTTATCCAAAATATTGCTTCAGTTCAGCATCTGTTGAGGACTTACCATAATGTGTGCTATTGAAGTACTCAGATCCACCCATACGACCCAACGACGGCTCCCAACGACTGTTATGTGTACAAAGAATAAAAATTCAGAACGGAATGAAGAAACACAACATGAATTACTGGCATTACACAGAATTTGGAGACATTTTTTGCCTCTACATGCTGCAAATCAACAACACAAGAAATTGATACCGTAGTGATACAATGCATTGTTGGTTAAGTTTTCTATGGTTTGTTTGGCTCAAAATGAGGACTGTAAACCTTAACAACCAAGAACACGACATATAAGAAAATAAAAAGTACATTATATTATTTAAAACTCTTGTAGATTGAGTTTCTCGATGTATTACTCACTGACTTTGAATGATACACAACTTTCCATTTAGAATTCTAGTGACAAGATATTATATACAACAAGCTTTTTACTTCTGTCCACAACCCAGATTGGGATAGTTGACTCGTAAAAAACAGAATAAAAAGTCTCTACTGGCCTAAAAAACAAAGTGTAATCTCAAAAGATATAAATAAGCATCCTTAAGGAATATCATAATGTGCCAAGAAGTCCTATGAGAAACGAACCTTATATACAGTGCATACAAGTAACATTTAAAGGTAAAGCATACCTAGAAAGCCCACGAAATTTGGAAATTCCTCTTGAGAAACCACTGCTCTTTCTGCAGGAGGAGATTACAATTAAAAATGTGCAAAGTCTCCAGATTCAAATATGTATTTTCAAATTTTCTTTTAAAAAAATGTGTAAAAATCTATACAAACCTTCGAAGAGAAGCAAGGTATTCCTCCCTTGACACATTCTGCATCTCTTCAAGATCCCTTGTGTAATCAGTAACCTGCAACAATTGAAGAAAGAGCTAACTTGAACAAAGGGAATACTGTAGTTGACAACTCGAAAATATTTACGTATTGGCATGAAGAACCGAGATGCTGATTTGAAAAATTCAAGTGTTTTCTTACTTATGGTATACGCAAACAGTAAAACAAATGCTAACCCAATTACCAAAAATGGAAGAAATTTCAATGAAATCAGCAAATCAATGACAATAATCTCACAGGAAAATTGATGAGAGTGCCAGGACCCCAGTATTTCAAGGCAGCAAGATCATAAGCTCTAGCTGCAGCCTCTTCATCGTCATACGCCCCTGTAAATTCCACATGATACTCAAGGATTAAAAATTAAACCGATAGCTTACACAAGAAATTGGCAATTTCTTGTGTAATCTATGAAAAACTGAAGCCCCCAACTTACCCAAGTAAACTGGAATATATATCGAATCATCATGCGCCAACATTACCATGCACAGTCCAAGAAATCAAATGCTAGTCAGCAATTATACATGTATACAACATTTATACGCTAACAAAAAGGGGAGGGGGGGGGAGAGAGAGAGAGAGAGAGAGAGAGAGAGAGAGAGAGAGAGAGAAGTAAAGAGAGACCTTGCTTTCCCTTCTTATTCTGGTTGTGATTCCAGGTACTTTTATCCCAAAGATGAGCCTCATAACGACCTGTCCATCTATGCCTACATTTACACAACCAAATCAAAGTTCATCCTTTTCAACTTTTAATTTTCAAATTTAATAAACATATGAATTAATCAAAACAATTCCCAATTATAATAACTTATTTGCTAAATCAGGGCTATTTTCTCAGCAACCAAACAGAAAGGGAAAGAGAAAGAGAAAGAGTAGAGGAGCTTAATTACATACCGAGTGACTCCACGGTAAATGGAGCTCCGTTTTCCAGCAGCACACGGAGGCATTTTGCTGATGCGCTCTTTCGCCGTACATCCTCTCTCTTTCTTCGATTTCTTCACCCCTCTGTACACCATTAGCTGATCGCTCGCTATAACCGCCTCCGACGCCTCTGCTCCTCCACCGCCACTGCCGCCCCCGCTTCCGCTTTCGGTCTTCGGACCGGGATCCGAGGACGACGACGCCATATGATTACACACTCCAATTGAGTCCCCCAAACCAAAACCAGAGAGAGAGAGAGAGAGAGAGATGAGTGAGTGAGTCTGAGTGATGAGTTGTTTTGGAGGTTTTTGGTCTTGTTCGTTTCAATGGAAACTACAGTGAAGAAGATGAGAGATGAAAATACGAATTTGCCCTTCGTTTGATTTTGTTCATGGCTAATGATGTTTGAGTTGTTTTATGGTTTGAAAAGATTATAACGGCTAGGACGGGAAGCGGGGTAGTTACGTAACTTTGGATTATCATTATGCGTAGGGTGGGTTGGATGCGAAAGCCGCGTGGTCCGTTGAATGACAGTAATTTTCTACTCACTCATGATATCAACCATGTGACAAAGCGGAGCTGGTTGACTATAAAAAAAAAAAAGCTAATATGGTATTAGACTGTAACAATCATGTCTCGGGTTTATGACATAGGTTTAACTGTAGCAATAGTTTCTGAAGCTTATTTCTTGCTTAATTTTATTTTGTAACTCTCATATTAGTTTATTTAGTCTTTAAAATTGATAATGTGTTTCGCCATTAGTCATTTTTACTGACAATGTCCTTTTTTTTCAGTTAAGCTTGGGATTGTATTAGGAACTTGAACTTAACTTCAAAAAACAACAGACGAAGCTCAAAACAAACAAATATTTAAAAATTAATATCTATAATGGGCTAGCAGTGCGCTTTTAAGCCACATCATTGGTCATTTTTACTAACACCGTCTTTTTTTCCCGTTAAATCTAGAAGTATTAAGAACTTGAACTTAAAACTTAAAAAAACAATAGAAGAAGCTTAAACAAATAAATATTTAAAAATAAATATTTATAAACTTTTTTTTTGAATAAACGATATTATCTACCAGAGTGGGGAGAGTGGGAAGAGTGGGCTAAACCTCACAATGGGCTAGCAAAATGAAATTTGAAGTGTAAAAATACAAAATGAAATTAGTTGGACTTTAGCAACTTGTAATATTAGGCAATGCAATTTTAAAGTTGGTAGGAGATCAAGCTTTGTTAGACTTAAACAACTAAGAAATCACACACTGAACTACGAAAAAATGTATTCAATTTTCTTAATTTTGTGGTTTTGGGTGCTTTTGATTTGGGATGAGTTTCTTTGGCATCTAATTATTTATGTATTTTGGTCAAGAGTGCCTATTTTCATAAATTAGTAGTTGCTAAGTCTTACTAATCGAGTGGTGGGTGATGAGCATCGTTGAAATTGTCTATCTATATATGTACTTTGTTTGTAGTTAATCAAGATAAATACAACAAATATATCCTCAAATGACTCTGCCATGACACTAGCCTGGTGCACTGGGCTACAATGGAAGTACCCTCAAATGACTCTGCAATGGCAGTAGCCTAGTGATTTTTTATTCAATGCCAAATAGAAAATTTTCCATCTACATGTATTTGATTCTATCTGCAGCAATGAAATCCTAATATAAAATTAGTGATTACATATAATTGTAAACACGAGAAATTCCTGAAACAAGAGACAAGAATACGTGTACAAAATATATTTTTTTGTATTAATGATTTTTAGGGTTACAATCTCTTTGTAATTTGGTCCTCTGATTCTATCTTCAAAGGGTGTAGGTTTGTGGATGGATTGTTGATCCAAAGGGCCGTCGGGGCTTGATCTAAGGATGAACAGTTGATGAATGGATCTTCAAGGGGCGTTGGGCTTGATCTTGAAGAATGACGGATGATGAACGATGAACACTTTCTTCAAGGGGCCGTCGGGGCTTGATCTTGAGTTGGTGGAAGTTCTTCAAGGGCCGTTGGGGCTTGATCTTGAAGGAGGACGAAAGTTCTTCAAGGGCTTTTGGGCTTAATCTTGAAGGAGGACGGATGATGAACGATGAACACTTTCTTCAAGGGGCCGTCGGGGCTTGATCTTGAGTTGGTGGAAGTTCTTCAAGGGCCGTTGGGGCTTGATCTTGAAGGTTGATGGATGAGCGGATCTTCAAGGGCTTCTGGGCTTAATCTTGAAGGTTGATTGGATGTGTGGATTTGTTGAGGTTCTTGATCCAAAGGGGCCGTTGGGGCTTGATCTTAGGATGAACGGATGATGAACGATGAACACTTTCTTCAAGGGCCGTCGGGGCTTGATCTTGAGTTGGTGGAAGTTCTTCAAGGGCCGTCGGGGCTTGATCTTGAAGGGGGATTTGACGAAGAACGAAGAGTGATTTCTTGATCCTTCGGGATTTGCTTGAAAGCTTTAAAGTTTCAAGGCTTCTTTCTTTCTTCCTTCTTTTCCTTCTTCCCCCCAAATGAATGCCTTTGGCCTCCTATTTATAGAATTCCAAAACTTGATTTTTGGATTTAAATAATCAGATGAAATAAATCATTTCTGCCAGGTATTGACACGTGTCATATTTGATGACTTTTCCAATTTATTTCGATTTTTCGTTGAATCACACGCTACATGTAAAATTTATGTGACACGTGAACGTTGAAATTTTAATTATTGGTCAACATTCATTTCACCGAAATTTTGATGTCTACAAATGCCCCCACTTCAAGGCGCGTCGTAGACATGTGCTTGTCACGTGTAGAAGATGCGTTTTAAAGTCCCTTAATGTAGATGTCAACCCAAGGGCCGTCGATGCTTGATCTTGAATTGGACTGGAAATTTCTTCAAGGGCCATCGAGGCTTGATCTTGAGTTCGACTGGAAGATTTTCTGGTTTCCTCCAATCGTTGATTTTCCGCAGGCTTACTCTTGAACTGAGCTGGAGGATTCTTTTGGTCTCCTCCGAAGGTCTGAACTTACTCCTTTGATCTGGAGTTGAATTTGATTCAAGGGTGGTGAACACTTGATTTTGAATCGGACTTGTGATTTCTTCAAGGGCCATCGAGACTTGATCTTGAATTGGGCTGGAGGATTCTTTTGGTCTCCCCCTATCGTTGATTTTCCTTTGTGCTACTCTTGAACTGGGCAGCAGGATTCTTTTGGTCTTCCCCGAAGGTCTGAGCTTACTCCTTTTTTTCTGTTTCTTTGTTCAATCTCTTCAATTCGTATTGAAGAGGGTTAGAGGATAGCTCAGCATATGCAGTCGTAGCTTGTCTCCACATGCTTCAATGCATCATTTTCACTTGCCTTACTTGCCCCCCTTTGTAGAAGTGGTATTTCCTTATGCAGGTTTAGCATCTTCTCTTGTACTATTTGTTCCTGATGCAGGAGTTGAATGCAAACCTTGCATTTGAATGGACCATCACTTCTTGGTGGCAGCGCAAGTTTGAGTGGAGGTTCCGACATATTGCTTTCTCTGTCCTTGTCCTGGCAGGTGAGAACAAGGGCAAAGGAAAAGATAGGGGAAAAGCATGATATGAGATACCTTTGCTTTCGCCCTTGATGATATGAGATACTTTTGCCTTGGTGTCATTTGTTTGCAAGGGTATTCCCGGAGAGGAAGAAAACTGAGCATTTTGAGATGCTTTGCTGGGAGTGTACTCTCGGAGGTGAGGAAGAGTTGGGCATTTTTTTTTTCTTGTTTGCAGGTTTGCCTTGCCATAAAAGATGAAGGTCGACATATATAGGGATTTCCCAATAGCAAGTGGTGGCACTGTTCTTTTACCCTTGTCGCCAAACGTTTTGATCCCGTAAATCCGGCTTTTTGAAATAGTGACGACTCTTCGATCTTTGAATACGCCTCTTTGATTTCTGAATGACGCCTCTTCGATTTCTGAACGAGTGCCTCTTTTGACAAAGCTGCACGCGTTTTCTGAAAAGCAGAGAAAGCTTCGCCGAACTTTGCGCTTGTCAGCTAAAGATGTGTAGCTGCGATGCTGACCTCCACGTGATCTTTTGACAAAGTGGCACCCGTGCTCTGAAAAGCCGCGAAAGTGTCGCCAGCCTCCACGTGTTTTCAACTTTGTCGGAGATCTTTTGACAAAGTTGAACGCGTTTTCTGGAAAGCCGAGAAAGCGTCGCCTAACTTACGCCGGAAAATCCAGCTTTTGAGATTTGCAGAGCGATGTCTCTTCACTTTTGAACAAGCGGCCCTTCGATTTCTGAGCAAGCGCCTCTTCGTTTTTATAGAGGTATTGATCACCTCTAACATGCACACTTCGAAGGTTGCTCATTCCTGAAAATCATCTCCGACCTTTTGAGTTTTAACTTCATCCACCCATCTCTTTTAACACCTTTGAAAAATGGCTAATCCATCGAACCTTAGCTTAGAATTGAGTCTCAGCAGTGATCCGGTTGCGCCGCTTCAAGGTAATGTATGGTGTCCTTCTTTCTTATCTTCTAACGGTCCTCTTACAGGTGAAGACTCCGTGATGCAGGACGCCACAACAGCTATAATAGTAGCTAGGAACCTCCTTACTCCAAAAGATAGTAGGCTGCTGTCAGGACGGTCCGATGAGTTGGCCGTTCAAGAGTCCCTCGCTCTTAGTGTTCAGTGTGCGGGCTCTGTGTCCAACATGGGCCAACGCCTGCTTGCTCAGTCCCGTCAAGTGGAATCATTGATGGCAGAGGTGGAAGATCTTAAGCAGGAGATTAAACAGCTTAAGTATGAGAATAGAAGTTTGCATGTGCTTGCAAATAACTATTCGTCGGGCATGAAGAGGAAGCTTGATGAGATGCAAGAATCTCAAGGTCGAATTCAAAGTGACCGTCAAAGGCTTGCGTCTTTCTTCCAGAGACACCTTTTTCCTGCATCATCCAGCGTTCCACCAGGTATTGGGGCCTCGAATGATCTATCTTCGGTGCCTCCCGCTCCTGGAGTTTGGCCAAGTAGTGGGGCTTCACGTGAACGACCTTTGTGAAGGCTCCATCTTCCTCTTTCTTTGTTAGATACATTTCTTTTTTTTTTTTTTTTTTTTTTTTTTTTTTTTCGCACTTGTAATTTCTCGAAAATCAATGAACATGCTTCGTTTTATTTAGTGTATTATGCTAAATACTGATAAAACATATACATCACTGTCCATCATCAATTTTTTTTATTCATTTGTTTGCTTTCGGTGGCACTGATCCACCATTCATTTATATATATATATTTCAGATGGTGCCAGAAGCACCACCATTGTTTTTTTCTTTCTTTTTATTATATATATATATATATATAT